ACGCCCACCCCTAATTTCGGTTTCGGGTTATTTACCCGTCCCTACTGGTTCATAGACAATTCAGACATGGTTGAAAAGAAGAAAATGATTTTGGGCTAGAAAGGCCCTTCAACGTTTCTAAATACTAATATTATTGGAGAAAAACAAATTAAAAAATATTGTTCAAAATTTCTAGGGTTTCGTTTGATCTCATGTCTCCCAAATCAAGCCTCGTGTCTCCCAAATCAAGCGAAGAGGTCTCGATGGAGGACACATCTGAAAAGACGAAGGTTATTGAGTCGTCGTCGTCGTATCTCGGAAAGCGCAAGACGGAGGAGGATTGCGAGTCGTCGTCGGAGGAAGACGAAGTAACTGATTCGGAGGAAGAAAGCGAACCTGAAACCGAGCCGTTGTGGGGCTATGATAGCTTCGAGGACAGAAACTACTACTCCTACTCGGAAGGTGAACTTGCCGATGCTTTCTCCGATCCGGAGTCCGTAAAGCCCGCCCTTGACTACAGACGCCAGCTTTACTTGACCAGGGTATACATTTTTCAATCTTTTATTGGGAATCCGCAAGATTTAGCTAAGTAGTGATAGCTGATTCACTGTTATTGAGGTTGAATCAACATTCTTTGTATAGGGTTATGAATGTGGATCATAATCACTGTTATTGAGGTTGTTGAATCAACAAGTAGTTATTTCTTTGTACAGGGTTTTGAGGTGGATCCTAAGAGCGTTCCAAAGGATATGATTACTGGAATGTTTCCTATAAACTTGAATGATACACTCTTTGGCTGGAAGTCACCAGATGGAACCGCACGTGGCTACATGGAGCTCATGGTCGGATTGGCTCTAGACAAGTACAACAAAAAAGAGGCTAGCTAGTTTCTCGAAGCAAAAATGTTGGATCGAAACAAAGTAGAAAGAATCTATAAACTGTTTGTTTTGTTTTTGTGATGTTTTAGGGATTGGATGTGAAAATGGATCATGTCGTGAGAGCTATTGCAAGGAGAACTGCAGGAATCAAGTGTTACATAACCTTTATGGCTAGAGAGACTCCCACTGGACCTCTTGTTGAGTATCAAGCTAAGACCGAGTGGAAGCGACGCCAAGTTCACACTTATCCAATCTTTTGCAGACCTTCTCCTCCACCGGCCAATCTTAAGGAGCAGGTACCGATTCAAAATCCGTCATTTCTGTGACCAAGAATCATAATACTCTTCTCTTCCTTTCAAAGTTTTAAGATTTGTGTTGCAAATAGTCTTGCCACGGAGCTTTGGTTGATGAAATATTTGTTATTTGTGTAATTGTGTAGGCTCGTAGAAGCACAAGGGTCAGGCCAAAATCAGTTAGATAATCTCTGGTTGAGATTTGACATGTCTATCTCCATGCATTCGTTAGATGTTTCTAGGAAAATAAATTATGCTCCGCCTTGCGTTAATCGCTGACTAATTTCCTCTAATTCCCCCTATGTTTTAGTATATCTATTACTTTTTATTATAATATATGATATGGTATTTGGGCCATTCACTTTTTAGTTTGGTTTTAAGTCTAAGATTGGTTGACTGGGAACAGGGGAAAAAACAGAGATGCCAATGTTTACACAGATGTGATAAAAAAAAAAAACTCAAAATTTTAACTTGAAAAAAGAAGAGAAGCAGTTTGCTCGTTGATTCTTTGTCTGTTACCATACAACGTAAAAACATAAAGATCCATCTCTCGGATCATCACCATTATCAAGTTATCCAGACAACCTTTTAAGGGTTTTTATGGTAATTTAGTTTGTCTCTGTGGATTCATAAGCAGCATCAGCGGAAGAAGTATCTATGTCGTTGAGACCCAACTCCTCGTTTTGCTCCCATGATCTCTCGTACTCTTCAACTGTAGTTCAAACATAAACAACACTCGTTATTCGAAACCCCGTTGAATCCTGTTCTAATTCACATACTGAGTGCTAATTTATAATTCAGTTTGCAAAATTCATCAAATCAACCCCTTCTGAATGTTGTTTCTTCATAAGATGATACGAAATCTACGTCTGAATATTTGTTTCGATCTAGTTCAGTTCCAGCGTAAGGCTATAGTAGTCAGGGAGAAGGAGGAACTTACATGTGAGCTGATGATCATCTTTGATATCATCTGTTATTGGTGCAATAAAGGAATTTGATAATTCATCATCAAGAATCAAAGTCCATGGCTGTTCTAAGCTTAGAAGCTGCAAGAAAAGAAAGAGAAAAAAAAACATCTTCAATATAGAAACCAGGTCTTATTGCTTAGCTTTTTCTTGCAGTTCAAGAACACGACAAGGCAACGAAGATGTTACCTTAGTGAGCCTGGATCCAAATTCTCTCCACTTGTTCTTCTTATTCTCACTCATACTATCACCAAAAGTGAATCCGTGGACTCTTGCTAGGCCTGTGAAAACCCATACCACACTTGGGTCAGTAGCTAAGAGCTATAATCCATCATTGACATTAATCAATATCGAAAACGCTTCCATTATTCAGACAACGAAAGCTTTGTAAAGGATACTTGGATCGGCTACTTGACATACAGACTTATGTCATGCTTCAATATTTCTGTTCTACAGTACTTTAAAATAAAGGATAACATTGAGATGTTGAAAGGTATTCTCACTTTCTCTGATCTGTGTAACCAACCCTTCCACTGTTGTTACCATCCCACCGAGTGTACCACCAGCTAGCTCCAGATCAAGTTCTGGGATTGTCACTCCTGCAGTGTCCGACTAATACACAAAATAAACAAAATTCACCATTAATGGCATATGGGAAGGTTTTGCTTCAAAAATATAAATATATTGTACAACTCATTTCGTTCATAAGGTTGTCTACTGTAATATTGCCATCAGATGGGTTATATGGCAATACCAAAGGCCCAAATACATCAAACAAGCCTGTTCTACATACGATCTCAGAGTTTTGCAACCTATCTGACACTTCCATAACACCTTCCACTATCGTAATATATTATTTTGTTTCAGGACATGAGAGAATATACCATACACTTAGAATGATAACTATGAAGACCTTTTACAGTACCAAATAAATTTTAGCTAGATTCATTGTCAAACCTTTATCAAACTACATTGTGTTAATGGTATATTTACAGCTTCGGGAAGGGCCTATATTTTAACCATAATGTGACCTTCCAACCTACTTTAAGCTAGCTAGAATGATATGGGGAAATCTCTCTTGATCCGCTGCTCATCCAGCGGATTCCAAAGAGATTACTGGTGCGCTACTACATCATATAAACAAATTGAAGCGAAAAACTAACCTTGATAACGTCTCGGCTAAGGTCAGCGATGTTCCTCACAGAGAGAGTAATTTTCTTTCCCTTTTTAGGAATTGCACCGCCAGGCTTCAACTGCTCACGATTACCCAAAAAGTTAATAACATAAAAATCACGCATATGCTTGCAAGATCTTTAAAAATATCAAACTAATGGAACCCAACCTCCGAATTGCGATAGCCACATTCTTCACATGTAGACGCCATGACAATTACCTCTTGAAAGTACGGGATTTCTATTTCAAGTGGTCAAGTACTAAACAACATCTAGGAGTTCACCAACAAACACAAATATGGAGAAAACATGTTGCAGAGAATGGACAGATTCAAACTACAAAAGGATACTAGTCACGAACATCCGGGTCTCACACAGCTTCATACATGCTCCACAAGTTGAAGGGAAAGTCATCACCTGTCAGAACAATTGTAGTGTGAGATATAATATCTTCTCTTTACTCTCACAAATACAACCTTTGACACTGATTTATTTTCTTGACTAATTATAATCTTGAATATTCAAAAGAAGTAAGTTGCAGATCAGAAGTTACCTCTTCAGGTGCGGTGTATCTGAACAAGTTATCGGATATATCAGTGCTATTACTCTGAGCAATCGCCCGATGACCAGCTGTTGCTCCAATTGTTCCATGAGGGACAGAAATTGTTTCAGCAGAACGTGCACCAAGGCTTCCTTCTGATTGTCCAGCCTGCGATGGGTCAGCAGAATATCCAAGCGTTGCTTGTTGCTCTGGTGTTCGCTCATAGAATTTGATGGTTAAAGACGGATCTGGTGACGGAGCATGTCTGTCATGTTTTCAACTTGTCATAAGCAAATAACAGAAACATAAATCATATTTTTGGGTATTTCCAAATTGATTATCCTTACGGGTTCTCAATGAAACTGTTTCCAGCAGGATCATCCAAGATGAAGGTGAAGGATGTCTCTGCTTTAGCGCAAGCTCTCAGTTTGGACAAGAATTGGTCTATTGCTTCAGCAGTTTTAGGATCAACTTTCTGAGTCCAGCAAAATGTAAAGTTTCAGATTCCTCCTGACTGTAAAACAATTAAAGTGGACATAAAACATAAGTGACCTGTCCCAGTCAGAAATTACCTTGCGTTCTTCTTGAAGGGCACTCAGTTCATCGGCAGCGCGCGATAATACCCCCTCCACCTGAAAATTAGACAAAAAAAGGGGGAACTATTGACAAGGAACTGAAAAAATAGGAAAACCAAAAATCTGTCACGAAATAGCGTAGGCGTATTAGACTCCACTAAGAAAGTGCTAACACCAGGTTGAAGCAAACAAAGTAACACAAATATGGCTCTCATGGAGATCCTCCCCAATAATCATTGCGCAACTTGATAATTAATTACATGGCCATTGAATGCACCGCCAATTTGTTCTCATGAGTAGACCAGACGATTTTTAGGCTGTTCAAAGACAATACCTAAAAATGAACTGTTCATAACAAGATGATTAAGATATTAAGTACTTACAGTAGACAAACTTCCACGTTGGGCCTCTGTTGGAATTTCAAAATCCAGTTCAGGAATCTGAAGGCATATATATTGCAAACTACTGTCAGTTTCCACCTTCAAAACAGTCCAACTTTCATAATATAATAAGCAAACTAATTCACAGCTTTAGGAAGATAAGGGGAATCGATTTCTTAGAAATGCAGGAAGCGGCTTTGTTTTCGAAAAAGCAATGAACCCCGATTTTAGCAAGACAACTCACCTTAATAGTGGCTGATTCAGATTTCACAACTTGCCGGTCAAATATCTGCATTCACACAGAAACAAGAAGGGAAATTTACCTTTAAGGAGTGAGAGACAGCTAAAAACAGATATTTGTGATTCTTATAATAAGCACGGAGGGCTATACTACATTCTAACACATGGTAAGTGCGCCTCCAATGGAAAAAACGAAAATGAGTATAAAGAACATAATTTTTTATTTGAATCAATGTATCAACCTTCACATCACCAGCTAGAACCTCTAGATGGTAACAGCATCCTCTGGGTTGAATCTCTCCCGCAAACTGAACTTCATTATTCCTATAAAATAAATAAGAGGTAGGATTAAAGGCTTCTCTTTTCAATTGAGAAAACAGAAACTCAGCTCATATACAATAACTAAAAGCATCCCAAAATTGTTAAAAAGGTTGTACCTTTCTCCACAATGCGGACATTCAAATGCCGTTAATAAGACCTGTAACCATGTGTAATTTAGCAGTAAGCTTTTCAGTTAACACAAGGTAGAGAAACGTATAAATAGAAAGTAAAACCAAAAAAACAAGTCTCTTTAAACCAAATGATACAACTCTACAAAACAGAGTACGAGATACCTTTTTGAAGTTAGGAATTAAGGTCAATAGTAATCTAGTTGTTCCCTGGAAAAGAAATAATAAGAAGGATCAGGAGAAAACCCAAGAAAATCTCATACGGCAGATTATTATGATTGAAGTAAAGAACTCGGTAATAATACACTAGTAGCTGAAAGTTCAGCATATACAGTCTCTAACTGATCGCCACAGAACCACATATATCAATCTATATCACCTCAATTTTCTCAGTCCATCACCAAGAATGTAGGCAATACGCCGGGTTTCATAAACCCTGCTACAGTTCATAACAATCTCAAGAACCATTGGATTGCAAAAAGAACTAATGAAATTGCTGAAGTACAGTAGACAGTAGTACAATATTGGAAAACAACCTTAAAAGGCTAAAGAGAAACTAGCCTGTTTCCTAGACTTATATTAGTGATGGACTGAGAAATTCATCAAGTTTCAAAGGATAAGGACTACATAACCAACAACATCAAGAATGTCATGTGTGTGTGAGAGGGAGAGATACATTTTCACCGCATCGCATACACAGGCTCTCAACTACATAGAGAGGAGCCCCGAATGAGTGATCGGCGGAAACAGCTTCAACCACCGATCTAACATCCATCTGTTGATCATCTCCGTTGTCCATCAGCTCTGGACTTTTCTAAAAAAAATCCGATTAGCTACAAAGTCCAAGACCTGAAATTGGTTTGCGAGTAGCACATGAGAAAAAAACAAAAAAAAGCATGAAACTTTGTGCCTACATTATCATCAAAATCACTAAGAATCTTTAAGGGAGCCTAATGAATTCATTAACAAATCCTGCAATATCCTGAAAACACCAAACCTACTTAAATTGTAAGGCAAAGTTGGAGAGATACAAAAGGAGACAGAACAGAGCTACGAACCAGAGCCGGCCATAAGTTTGAACAATTGAATGAGTTTTGAAAGATTAGAAAAGTGAAATAAACAAAAACAAGAGAGGTTAACGAATATACAATTAGAGAGAGATGAGAAGGTTAGTTCGAGCGTGGCTACCTCGAGCAACCACAGGAGCAGAGACAGAGAGTTCGTGGGAGAGAGAGACAAGCAGGCGGGATGGTACGAGAAAGACAGAGACGGCTCGATTTAGGGTTCGAAACCCAACTCCGATCTTTTTGATATGTTTTTTTTTCTTCGCCAAAACGGCGTCGTTAGATCGAAAATAGACCAAATACATACTTCTAGACAAGAATTAAAGAGTTAACAATTAAATTCGGATCTTTGTTGAAAAAAAAAAAAATTGAGAAACTGCACGAAATAATATATCATAACTGCCATTAAAACATATAGATTATTTCATTACGTAAATAGTTTGGATAATGATCATGATAGATTTGTTTTTTCTTTTTAGTTCATCTTGTCAGAGATATATCCAATTAAAATAAAAAATAATTATACATATTTTTAAGAATTAGATTATTTGCATTTTTCTCTATTTTTCCGTGATTCATTTGTGTAGGGGAGATTTGCCAAAAATACAACAAAAAATTATAATTTAAAAAGTAATTAAAAACCTCAAATTCAATGGACAATTTGCCATATACCTCATTTTTCCTAACTTTTTAAATTTTTATTGTTTTTTTGTTTATTCACCAAAAAGACCCTTTGTGTAATGTGGTATAAAACTCAAAAAAAAAAAAAAAATCAATCAAGAGATGATGAAGATAATATATTTGGACCGATAAATAATTGAACTTTTAAGCCTTCAATCCAACTTAGAAATGGTTCAATAGGCATACTCTTGGTAGTAGTATCCAAGAAGCATTTTTCCCATTGCTTGTTTCGGTGAAGAAGAAGTATGTTTTAGCTAGGCCATCCATAAAGTTTTGTCCTAATTAGTGGACAAAATATGCATTAGCAATACTGTAATTTTGTTTTAGACCGGAGATCATAAAACTTTTTCAGTGAGATCTTTCATGTTTATTTTTCTCTTCTGAATAACTTTGTTCTACGAGTTGTTTTCAATCATGTTTTGGTACGTCTACCTTGTTATTTCCCATTCGGAGTAAAAAGTTTCTCTAATGAGTCCCGATCTTTTCCTAGCTATAATGCAAAACTCAAAATTTTACAATAGTTCAAAATACACCTATATTTTATGAATTGTATATAATACCATGTCAAGTTCAAATTTTGTAGTAATCTTTAAAATGGGTTACATAAAATTTATTAAAATAATGGGTAAGTTTTTCTCATTAGTTCAATGATTTTTAATATTCAAACTATTCAATTTAGA